AATACAGTGCTTGGACTGTCAACACGTCGACCTTCCTCAATAAAGCAGCGCTGCTCCGCGGTAGTATGTCTACGAGCGCGTGTAGGCCGTCAAACTTGGCTAAACCAGATTTCCCTTCTCTCCCGTGCCTATTCAACTCCTGTGGCTGGGGAATAGAAAGGAAGATGGGGAGAGAAGGAGTTAGTGTAGTTTTAGGGCGCACGTGACTCACTTCGTCTGCGCTCATGTCTAGTGTCGTCCAACCAGTCCTTGGGAATATCAAACAGCTAGGTCGTATTGCACCGATGCCGCCAAGTAGCGAAGCTCATAAGCATGTCAGGCTCGCCGTAGCCTTGCCCGTGAAGGGAAACGTGACGCCACGAATGCGCTGAAAGCGCCGGATCTCACAAGATGCATCGCGCTCTTCGACGGCTGCTCTTCGAGCGCTTGCTAAGATCGGCTATTTAGAACGAAAAATATAGCCATCTGTTCAAGATATAAGTATGCAATTGTCTTTGGCAGATATTGTTGATCATGTGCACCTTATTTCGGAACGTGAGAGGTATATTTTAATTTTTATTTCAGTATCCTTTTGATGTCCCTCATCTCTCATTCAGGATTTGAATCACATATTACAGAAAATGTATTTATTTTGTCTACCAGTGATGTGATTGCTGCGGCAATTGCGCCAAACTGCGCCAAGGGGCAAACCCTGCTACATTCTGCTACATTTTGCCAAAATAAGGGTAAACTGCGCCAAGGCTGCGCCAAAGGACCAATTTCGGTCGCCTTTCAAGAACGAAACTGAACTGAGTACCGTAATTGAGCACGCGTGAGGTAGGTGGCACAAGGGGCCGCCCGCCGCCTGACACAAAGTACCCTGCATCAATCGTTCATCCGGTCCCCCCCCCCCCCCCCCTTGCATGGTTTTTCCCACCGTCTCTCGTTCTGCGCTCTCGCAACTCGCTGTCTTGCATTTTTTTTCTTTTTGTTTTTTTAAGGATAGGCGCGGGCGTGTGCGGGCACTCCTACACTAGCGTGCTAAATACCAGCCTTGCCGTCATGCTGTGAAACGAAACCGCGTATTTGCGCGGCGTGAGTTACTTTGTGAGCTGAAGCACTCGCTCCTGAAAGCAACGGCATTGGGAAAACTATATTTGGTCCCTGCCTGCCAGTCGCCGTGGTCGCGCGACGTCGGGTGTTACCGTCCCCACCTCGCTGCAGGTATGGCGCTTTCTAAACTGAAACGTAAGGTCCACCCTAATGTTCATCAACATTCCTGTTCTTGTTTAATACACTGCTACGAAAATTCATCTATCTCAAAGACTGCTGTGTAAAAGTATTGATTACCTAGGTTTCTTTCAGTAGGCTTTCTTTCGACAGGGACCCCGGTGCGTGAAAAATTCTGCCGCGAAAGACAGTTGGTGAAGGGAAGTGAGCTAAAGCAAAAAAGGCAATGTCTGCACGCTGAACCTGCACAGCACGGTTGTTTTTCTCGAGTTGAGCCCTTGCACAAAGCGCTCCAAGGACTTTTTCACCTTAACTCGAGATGTCTTGCATCAATGTAATCAGGTTCTTTTTTTTTTTTTTTTTTTTTTTCTGTGTGTTTAGTTTTTAACCTCGCCTGCCGGCCTAGCAAGCACGTGCCGCTGGAGTGTTTTTTTTTTTTTTTTTTTTTCTTCATATTTTGGATTGTTTTATTTTTCTCACAATTTTGGGAACCAGTTGGCGACGGAGCGGAGTGGCCTGGTTTTGATCGAACAGCCGCCTCCGCTAGCGCGACATTCTCGGATTGCACTGCAGTAGTTACGTGCTTCATCGGTTGAAGACTGCTTTCGTTTATAATCTCACTAGTCAACCTAATACTGTGCTATTTACTACGAAGCGGGTCAGTTTTAAATAAATTTGATTATGTGCAGGTTGGTTCTTATAGTGAATACATATACAGGCTGTCACAAAAAAAACTTACAGGGTTGTTTTTTTTACCGCAAAAATAAACTAGGCATCGTTGAACGCTCCTTCTTTGTCCAAAGGTAGTGCTAGAGGTTACAACCAGATGCCAAAGTGTCAGCCCGATCCGATACCTAATTCAAAAGTTAAAAGTGATTTTCTGGAAATTTCAATGGGAAAATGGAGGCTGACGGAGTTTTCATAGACATGGGGCCCTAGGGCACCAGAAACCGAAAACAGGCTCCAATTTCCCATTGAAATTTTCAGAAAATCACTTTTAACTTTTGAATAAAATATTGGATCGGGCTGAAACTTTGGCATCAGGTTGTGACCTCTAGCGCTACCTTTAGGCGGAGAATGAGCGTTCAGCGATGTCTGGTTTATTTTTGCGGTGGAAAAAACCTGTAAATCTTTTTTGTGACACCCTGTATATGTATCATTAACTCAAGCATTGTAAAATCTGTCATGTCATTGGCATTTCAGTTAACATTTTGAAAGACTCCCAGGTGGTCTAACTGGACTATAATTTGTTTATTGCAGCAAGCAAAGTGTCCTTGGATTGTCCAGCACTTAAGACTAATATTTTTATTTGTCTAAAAATATGTGCTCCAAAAGCTACTTTTGCCTCCAAAACAATGTTTTAACTGCTCCAAAAGTCACTTTTGCTGCTCTAAAACACTGTTTTGGCTGCTCCAAAGGCCACTTTTCCTGCTCCCAAACATTGTTTTGGCTGCTCCAAAAGGTGCTCCAAAACGCCTTAGCCCAATCACATCACTGGTCTACTGATCATTTCTAATGTCCCTCATTACTCACAGAACAGTGGGCACCATGCAAAGTGAGTTTACTGTGGTGTACAAAGAAATCTTAGTACATTACAAGATCCAGAAAATGTTCAAATGTGATAGTAAGATCTGTGTATTGATATGGTACAGATTATGTTTAATTTAAAGAACTGTCTTCGTCTAATCACAGAAAAGAATTGGTCGGTGCACAGGTGTACTATGCTGCATAAATTTCTGTTGAACTAGGTATGTGTGGGTGGCACAAGAAATTTAGACGGGGGGGGAGGAGGAGGGAGGGAGGGGGGCGGTTTGCACTTCACCGACGCACATGATAGTCACGTGTACTTCCCGTGCCGCAGAGGATGCGAGCTAGGCCGCTGTTCAGAGCGATGAGCAAAGATTGTGGAATCACGGCTGCCGGAGAGGCGTCTATCGCAGTTTCAGACAGGAGTGTGTCGCGATGAAGTGAGCAAGCCAGCAGATAAGAAATTGCTGCTGAAACCACTAGTGTTGGTTGTCTATGAATTACGATAGCATTCGTCTAGGGCAACCTTAAGAACGACAACTAAGATGACGTCCTAGAAGACGACATCAAAGACGTTGCGGTTCTCCTTAGGGCCACCGCTTTGGGGAGTACCACGTTCGCGACGAGACGCTCTACCGCGAAGCGGGTTCGTACTCGCATGGCATGCTGCTCGTGGAGCGCAATCAGACACCAGTCACGTTGGTCACGGTGATAATCTCTGTTTATTTACAATACAAAACAAATAACAAGAAGACAGTGGCTATCAGCTGGTGAACGCCGTCAGTGTGTAGATCGCACACGGCCGAACGGTCATTCACAAGGGTACAAAGGACGGGATAAACGCTCACCGGTGCACCAGACAGTTCCCCTTTGTCGCCGCCAGGGAATCCCAGGAAGAGAGCCGAGATCTCGCTGACCGCTGGCTTTAAGATAACCGCGGGGGCGAAGGGGCCAATCAAGGAGCGACACGTCGATCTCCTTTCTGCGGGGGTTCGTAACGAAAATCGCCCCAAAAGGGGGAGAGGAGGAAGTCACTCACAGTGGTAAGCAGTGCCGCCTCTCGCTACGTCAGCGCGGCCGCCACGGTGCGCCAAAACGCTGACGCGACAGAATGTTGAGGGATCACAATTTCCACGTCTAAGACGGACGACCTCTAGGGCAATCTCAAGGACAACCTCTAGGGAAATGTTAAGGACAACGTCGAGGGTGATGCCCTAGAGAACGACTACTACGATGACCTCTAGGACAACTTCTAGGATGACCTCAAGGATGACATCTAGAACAACATTAAGGTCATCAGGTCTTTCAAAGAGGGTGTGAATGCAAAGGAGTGTGGGAATGTGAGCTGAAATGGTCTACTGCACATACCTACTGCGCATTAGGAGGCCGTAAAGTCCAAGAAATCTGGGAGGGAGGGGGGGGGAGGGGGGGCAGGGTTAGCTAAAGAATGCTATCGCATTAAAACGATGTACATGCGCGGTTCTCGGCAGCAGGCACGGCACACCGTCAGGGAGTGCTGCGAAGCAAATTGGTCGGCGCTCCGGATTTATTTGTGTGACGTCACTATCGTGACATCGATCTCCCAACTTTGCACCCCTTTCTAAGTGCAGAGAAAGGCATAGTTCTATGTCAAAAGAGTAAACAGAGTATTGATATCCTTGCTGTTTGTGCCTAAAGCAAGAATTTGGACGTCGGACCCTGTTCGCAGTTCCAATGCCCTATAGATGGCGGGGTGGTGGTCACAAGATGGTAGATGAGACGAATATAGATAGTTTAGGATTTTCTCTTGCACCTGCTCACTGCCGTTGGTCAGTGTGCTAAAATTAATTTATTTGGCTACAAACAAGGTGGTCAGGGCAGGAGCATATCATGGGTAACGGAGACGTTGATGCGCGTTAGAAAAATGGCCGTGTTGGTTTCAAAAGTTGCGAAGCAGAACAAAACAATTCCTATTTTAATGCACTCCCTGTTTCTGTTAAAACTGCACGATGCGTGAATGCATCGACCAGAACCATGAGGTAACAGCAGCCGCAACACCAATAATCCCGTCTCTGCCCCTGTCCCACTCCTCTGGGTTTTTTTTCATCCGCGAGAGGGCAAGCAGTGGGCTGTGGTTGCGAACAACTTGGGGCCATATTTAGCTCATCCCTGTTGTTCATTGCTTGTGATTTGATTGCCTCCATTTTTTGTTGTTATTGCTATCATATAAGCAGAGGCGAGGTGTTTACCAACCCCTTATAGTGCCACTTGTTTTGCTTTTACAGGATTTGAAGAGAAGGCCAAATCGTCTCCGAACAGTGTCCTGTGCAGTACCATATTCCTGTGCGAGTTCTACAGCCGCTACCTGATCAACGGACTTCCCTTGAAGCCTCTTCGGGTGCCAGTCTGGAAGTGCCTCGAGTATATGCTGCAAAGCCGGGAGCAGTATTTCACAAAGCACTGCCTGAGATTGGTAAGCAAGCCACTTAGCCAATGCTGGACTTGCGAAGGACGGAATGCATGTGCGAAAGATCTCTCTAAATTTGGAATATGCGGAATTCTTTCTGCTGTGTTTTCCAGAAGTAAGGGTTTTTACAGCTCGTGTACCATAATATTGTTTTGTTAGATGCACTTTTGCAATTTCTGAGCCATGTGGGAAACAATTTTTGAATGGTGTGGAACTGTTTTGTCGTGATCCGAATTTCGTGCAATTGTTAGGGGATTTTTTGTTGATATGTTCTAGCCTTTACTCTAAACAAAGAGAATAATTTTTTTTAGCATGCTCACTCGATTAGAGCCAGCAGTGCATCCAAAATGATTTGTAAGGGGAGGGGGGCTAGGGAGTGAACCATGAAGAATGGCTAACTCCTTAGGTTTATGTAGGTTTGACTAAGTGGGGAGGGTTGTGAATTCCTTGGCTACTCCCTTGGTTCAACTGTGAGCTCTCCCCGTCATCCCTGCTCCTGCTAACCCTAACCGAGTGGGCTGTAATTTCACTAGCCGTAGCCTCCGCAGACACAATCTTGGAAACACAGATGAAAGTTCAGTTGTCACCTGGGCATGTAATCGGTAGCTGTAATACACAAAGGCATGAGGTTCTTACTGATACAAGCAGGAACTTGACTGTATTTGATTTTTTCTGGAAATAAGTAATAGACAGTCAACTCTAGATAATTCGAAGCTCACAGGGACAGCAAAATGCTTCAAAATAAACATTTTTTGAATTTAAAAAAAAAAACATTCAATCTGTTAATTTTTTATTTGGTACTCACCAGGAGAACTTGATTTTTGCTTGCCTCAGCTAAGAGAGATGTGCGGTATTCTGCTAACAAAGGTGTGCAGTGTTAAATATGCTCTGGAAATTGCAAACCCTTATGGTGCCTGCAACAGTTTTTTTGCCAAAGAAAACGTGAAATTGTACTCTATAGTGCCACAAGCAGTTTCCTTATCAGCGGCACTCTGCCACTCAGCGCAGAAAGCAATGTGATCATTCCTTGGCTTAACCACTTGCATAATGTCACTGTCCAAGAGCGGAATACAGACCACGGCATCTTTCTTGACATCAATATGTTTGATGGACAAAACATATCGTAGGATTGGGTAATGCCTCAAACCAAGCTTTGTTGGTTGTACGTGCCGTGCGGCCGCGCTCGCTTCTGTAACTTTTGTGAGAAAAATGCCATGATGCGTGCGCCCACAACCATGCTGGCTTCACTTCGCTTGGCGTGGCTTGGCCACCTTGCAGTTTATTTGCACGCTGCGCTCGATCCCTCTTTATCTCGACCGCGCAAACTGTAGATAAAGCATTAAAGTGTGCACAGGTGCAATTTAAACTTCGTCAGCATAATTGCAAAGCTTTTTAATGCTCTTAGAGTTGTCGGAATTCTCGATCACGTTAACAAATCCTTCGAATTAGCCAGTTGCAAAGGTTAACCTTCGAATTACTGCTCATTTTCTTCCATAGACTCGTATGTATGATTGCCCGGACCACACCCCTGCTTCGAACTAACCGAAAAGTGGAATAAAGAGACTGAATTATCGAGAGTCGACTGTACATTAGGAGTATATTGGCAAGCAAGTTTGACTGTGGCATGGTTCAAAACCCTCAGACTTGGGAAGGGACTGAAAAATGGGCACTGTAACACAAAGTTTGCACTTTATTTTTACCTCTCCAATCTCAGGATTCTGAGCAATGAAGTTTCTTCGCTATTTGATCGCAGTTCGGTTCAACTTATCGGAATGCTTATTGACATCACAGTTCAACTTATAGGGGTGTTCTTTTCTTTCAGATCAGAGCCAAGGGAGCCTTTCTGATGAAGCACAACCCTGACGAAGTTGAGTCATTCCTCGCTCACCTGCGGGACCTCATCTTGGAAGGGGCTGTGGAGAAAACAACACGATCCTTAGCCCTTGAGACACTTGAATTCATCTTGAGGGACCTGATGCCTCTCAAGACAAAGAACTCCCCACCCCCCTTATGAGTCCTCTCAAGTAAATTCTGCTAAATCATTTTAAGAAGGTATGTCACCACAGTTGGAGACGTGACTACTAGTTCACTGAAGTGAAGAGTAAACGGGTAAAACCGCCCCCCAGAATAATGGCTCTGAAAAACCTGTTGTCTTCCTTTCACACCACTGTAAGTTGAAATGTTTACTGTTATATCAGGGCAGTTTCAGGCAGTAAGGTACATTATAATTTTCTATTTTTTATCATACTTTTATATGTCATAGTGCATAGAGTGCATAAAAAAAAGTATTTTTAATTTACATGATTTTACATGCTTTGTTTTAAAGGAATAAAATCCTAAAGGAGTGGGGAAGGATTAAGACGTTTTGACAATTTCCGTGTGTGCCATATTTGAATCTCGCTCTCCCCAAACCCATTCATGGTTGAGATGTGAATCTTTTTCAGAATGATCTGTGTCTAGCATACAACAGTGTTTCCTGCAATATAATTTTTGTTATTCACAATGAGTTTTGAAAAAAAATGCCAAAACATGGGTCTATAGACAATTATGCCCTAAACTTAGTCTTTTTTTTTTTTTTTTTTAGTAGAGTTTTTGAAGTATCACATATAAATTAACATCATGGAGAGTAGGTATTATTGCTCTGTACATAATATAAAATTAATGCATTTATTGCTTTTTCATATTAAGAAATAAATTATCTCGGGGAACATCTAAAAATTATTTTAAGTTTAGACCATTAAAACAAAAGCCTTTTTTTTTCTTATTTGTTTTACATTTTTGGGACATATTTCTGTTAACCCACACACGTTTCATTAGGAGTAAAACCTTTGTTTCGAAGTCTTGAGCCTCCAAATATGCAACAGGACCACACTCCCCACGGGTTCTTAACGTTGTAATTTTTGGTATCTGTTAAACTTGTCAACTCCAGTTTTCTTTTTTTTTCTTTTTATTTGCACAGTTATATTGCTTTAAAAATTAGCTTCGGGCTTGTGAAGCACTAAACAGTCAATGAGTAGTGCTTTCTGATGGCAACATTTATGTGACTTAAGCACTCCGTTTATTGTCAGTGTTTTATGTTGCAAAAAGTTGCAGTGAGTACGTTCCTGAACGTATGAAGCCGGCCATGTCACGTCGGCGCAAGCGGCTTCTCGTGTCTGCCTTTATTACTGCAGGGGGTCATTTTTCTACTTTGCCAACAGCTGGAACATATACTTTGTCACGACTAAGGTCCTCTGGACACATTCCTGTCAGATCCACCGAAAGATTTAGAAAAATCGGAAGCCGAACCACATTTATAAGAGCAGAATCCTCGGTGCCCGGTTACTTCTGCTAGCGAGAATCGAGATGGTCCCATTATGGACATAGTGGTGCGTCTCACGTGACTAGAGAAAGGCAGGCCGCTGTGGCGATCGCTTCTGTTTTCTTAGCTTTTTTTCATGTATACTGATTATTTGGGTCAAACAGTTGCTATATTTGGGGTCGGCAGGCACAAACACGTCACAATCAACCAATAAGTAATTTTTTTTTAAAAGCTCTTCAGCTTCCCTTTAAGAATAGGTTTCAGTTCCACAAAACGGGTGAAAACGACATGCTATTACGTTGGTTGTTCTCTGCAAGTGGGCATGGAAAGAGCGCCTGCAACAGTATTGGTGATCTTCTGAAGCAAGCATCGTGCAACATTGCACAACATCTGAAAGCCTCAGAATGCTGCAATCCTCACCTCTAGGGACTTCCTGTCTCTTCTCACTGGAAAGCATGGCAAGACGCAGATTATTGACCTGCCTGCCGAGGACCTTACAAGGTTCAGAGAAGTAATAAAAAAGGTGGGAAAATATTCGCCAAAAACTTGAACTTGGTTCTTGCCAAGTTTGGTTCAAGCAATCATTGGATGTCTCCACTGGAAAAAGGGAGCAGACAGTGAGGACTGTTGAAGAACCTGTTCCTTAAAGGCCGGCCCGCAAGCAGAGAGAAGGAACCGGACCCTCACTTTCCTTCTCGCCACTGTGAAAGGAGGAAATCACCTCTCGTTTCCTCCTCGCCATTTTCCGACCTTTTTTCCTGACCGCCTGCCTGATCCCCTTTGTGGAAGGTTTGGGTGGGTGCAATCAACGTTTGAAGGATTTGAAAGGATTATCCAGGGTCAAGCCGGCACCTCCGCGACAGGGAGCTGAACCAGCCGAGGCTTTTTTGAGCGAGCTTGGCACTTGCTCTCCCCAACGAGTTCGATGGCTGTTTTTAGCGTGGGTTTGGAGAATGATTTCTGTTGTTGTGAAAACACCAATAACTGTTGCTTTATTCAAAGAAGTAGTCATTGAAGTATCAATTTTGTTCTAAATCTCTGATTTGTCATCTTTCGTTGTTTATGTGAATTCATGGCGATAGCGGGAATTACGAGCGGCGTTTTTCGGTATCTCACGAATCGCGTTCCATAGACCATTGGTTCGGAACTACTCTACATTGAGGACCTAAGTGACTTTGTTAGGCGCAGCATTATCCTGTGTGAGGCTCGAAGACGTTAGACGCGATGGTTCGCTCGCCGGTATCTCTTTTCCAACGTACGCACTACACGCTCCACATCGTGTTTACGCGTTGAGTCGATACAGGCGGTATACTCTATGAGGCTTTGGCTTTATTACTGGTACTGCGTGTGGGAAAGCCCCAACCAGCAAGAAGCTTGAGAAGTTGTTTTGCACGATAGATCAGAAAAATTTTTAATATCTTCAAATGTGCCTCCACCGCGAAAACGTATAGCATCGTTGGGACATTCAAAAATGAGTGCATGATGGGCCGGGTGCGTTATCACAGGGTATTTTGTCCTGTCATTACTGGTTATCAAAAAAAAAACAAAAAAAACGCCAGTTATATTGTACGTTGCAAACAGCTGATTTGGGTGTTTCTCAAGGAGCTCTAGAGCTTTTCCATTGACATTTCGTCTCTTTATACAACATTCAAAAAGTTAGGTAATTAATCTTAAACATTTATTTGCTTAGGGTTATTTAAAAACACGGCAGCTCTCGCAAGACTTTTGCTAACAACATCTAGTCGGTTCAATTCGCGTACGGTGTCCAATTTTTAAGAGGAAAAAATTAGGGTGCGTTATTTCGGACACCCCATATTTACGTAGATTTACTTATGGGTGATTCGAGAAGGAAAACGTAGCTATGTTTTCAGTGATTATTCATTTTGGGAAAAATCACTGTACTCTGTTGAGCGATGGAATAATACACGGCAAGCCTATGACGATATGAGATGTATAAGTGTGTCCTGCATCGGAAGCCGACAGATCTCGGACTTCTGGTCTTTCTGTGTAAGTACTACCCGTTTGTCTCTATACTATTTTACGTTGTGTTTCTTGTAATGAAAAAGAAAGAAAGATCGAAACTCATATTTACGCTGAAAAGTTTGTGCGTGAAAAGTTTCTACAGAGAAAAGTCTGCACACCGAAAGGTCCGCGCATCGAAAATTCCGTGCACCGCAAAGACCGCACCGAATCGCCTTACACCGAACCGTCACACAAAAACGCGGCAGCTCTCGCCAAAATGTCCACATCCCATCCGAGGTGATGAGAGGGGGAAACGTATTGGGTCATTATGATTTCGTCAAAATAAATTTGTAATACTGAGAGCTAGAGTGAAGTAGACCTTTCACAGTTACGTATGGTGAAAGATATCAGCCAGAAGTTGGGTGCGTGCTTTCTATAATTCAAAAGATTAAAATTTTATAGCCTGGCTTGACTGATGAGTCCCTGCCACTTTTGAGAGAAAATAAAAAAAAACCTAAAAAAAAAAAAAGAAAAGGAGAACGGGGCGGGTTGCGCCACACTGTCGAGCCCATGTGCGGCCTGACCACATGAAACCTGCTCTCAAAGTTTGGCATAGGCCGGAAGAGGATTTCAAAGCATTAGAAAGGATTAGTTCCACTGTTACAATCAAGAGACCCCACTCCCCTTTTTTTTTCTTCGCACGACGTTTTTTTTTTTTTTTTTTTTTTTTTTTTTTTTTTTTACGAATTTTTTTACGAAAACCCATTCTGCATTTGCCTTACTTCAAATAAGTACATCCCGGTTTGAAACACACGAGCAGACACGGTGACGAGCTCTTTCTGCTGGCTGACACTTGCTGGTTACAGCGAGTTCTGTAACAACCTCATTTCGCCAGCTGTTTGATGAACGATTTTTACTTTCGAGAAAACATCCAAGGCAGCAATACCCGGTACAAGGATTTCTCCTAAATAGCGGTGCGTATAATTTTTGGTTTAATTTCTAGATGTTTTTTTTTCACTTTTGGTCAACACAGTGCCATATTTGTTTTCTCTTTACTATTTTAGCGACCACATCGACTAGACCGACAAGCATGGAGGTCCCTGAACCTTCTACGTTTGTTTCGAGAAAGAGGATGAAAGACGGTAGCGTAAAAGAATACACGTGTCAGCGGAGCGCGTTGCGCCGCACCATCAGCTTGACTTTTTCGTCAGAAGATGACATCACGACGTTTGACACGCTCCTGAAAGGTGCGAAAGCTGCATATAAGGGTGATCCGCTTAGTGCAATAATGATGCGAGCCTTACAGTCCCTGTCTGAAACACCGCATGGTCATCACACCGCTCCTGCACGAGTAAGTGACGCGCTTGCGTTGTCATGTGAGTCGGCTTTGATTGTTTGTGACACGTCAGCGCTCTTCAAGATGCTTGAGACTCTGCAAGACCACAGGGAAAGTTGCCCAGAGACGCTTTTGCTGGAAAAAGTGACCTCCTGCGGATTCGGCTCCCGCCTCCACTGGAGGTGTAAAGAACATTCTTTGACTGTTTGCTCTAGCTCCATAAGTGGGGACTCACGCACTGTCGATTGTCATCTCGCACTCGCATTTATATGCAGCGGTATGCTGCCGGTGCAGTTCCAGAAGTTTTGCGAGTTTAGCTCGCTGCCCTACTCTCCGAGGGCCCTGGAAAGGGCCACGATCAAGGTCAAAGCGGCAGTGGGCCTCTTGCGGATAGAATCCTTGACTGCCGCCCAGCAAGAAGAGTGCCGAGCAAGCGAGCCCCCATGTGCCTCTCCCATGATGAGCATTGAGACGGACGCACGGCATGCCTGCCGTAAAAACTCGTACCATACAGATGTCATTGCCCTAGGCCAGGAGACACACAAGATCGTAGGAATTGTGCATGTCACCAAGGATGATGAAATCTCGTCGCAGAAGCATGAAGTCGTGGGTACGAAGAAGTTGTACGAGTATTTTGATTCAAAAGGAATCGAACTACAAGACCACGCCCATGACAGGAACACCTCCGTCAACAAGATCATCCGAGAGAGGAGTGGAAATACAACGAACACGAACGACCGCTGGCACGCAGCAAAAAGTATAAAAAAGGGCATGATGACCATAGCCTCGGGACCAAGAAAAAATGAAGGAAAAACGTGGCATCAGCAACTCTCAGACAAATGCCAGCCAGTACGCAACCATGTGTACTTCGCGATGGCCACCTGTGGCGGTGATGCTGACACCCTACGGGCAACACTGCTGAACTGCGTCAATCATTTTTCCGGTGACCATCGGTGTTGTGCTTCGGAATCACAATGCAAGGAGGTTGGGCACGTTTTGAGTACGCTGCTCGTTAAAGATCCCGTAGCTCTCGATCTCTTGACAAATTTTATCAAGTCGACGACAGTCTACAAGCACGCACACGATTTTGTGAGGTCGAAGGACACTTTCTACATCGAATCCTTCAATAACACGGTACTCATGTACCTGGACAAACGCATCCACTACCAGAACGAGACATATAACCTAAGACAGAGCCTCGCTGTGCTCGATTGGAACGAGCACGTCGGACGAACGAGCACGTCGGCATACCGCATGGAGGATTGCCGGCACCCGGACAGGCAGGGTGGGAAGAAAAACTACTGCAAAAAAAGTTACAGGTAAATTCCCAGATTATTTTCACCTTCTTATGAAATGATTGCTTTTTATTTCATGTTTCTTTTTTAAAGATTCGTGAAAAGCATTCGTGACCTAATCTGCCAAGCCGCGTCCAAGGACAACACGGACTCCTCGGCAAGTTGTTCTCTCATGGAAGACGACGATGAATAAGAGGTACGATCAAAATTTAAATCTCTAAATAAAGTTTGTTTAAAATAATTCTAAGACTGTTAATTCATGCTATTTCTACCATATTCAAATTTCAACACTCGTCGCAGGCAGCACGAATGGATCACTGCATGCACTCCTGGCGCCAACGAGTGCCCAATCAACGGTCCTGCGACGTCCAGTGCTCAACCACGCATCACCATTCGACCTGTTTCAAAAATAAATGCTTTCCCGTACTTGTGGTAAAAAGGGCAAATTTTCTACTCAGCATGATCTTTTGTGGACCTATGGTCTCGTAGCCAAGATCGGTAGTTCACAGCTTTTGGATGGCGCAGGACGACGGATTCATTATTTACAGCGTAAGTACTGTTTTGACATTGAATTTCACATAAAATGGCATTTGCACAAATTGTGGCACGATGCCGAACTTGCTTGATTTACATTTCTTTCATAGGCAAGATAATCATACATAACCTACAGATATTGCAGTTTTAATTTTAATCGGCGCAGAGTGTGAAAGACAAGTACAGGCATAAAAAACACAACATAGCAGTGCATTCCTTTCTTTCTGTGCTTGTAGACAGTACGGGGCAGTTTGCCCCGCACGACTATATTCAAGAATTGCCAAATCTCCCAAGCACCCCTCTTTTTCTAGTTGATTTTCTAGATTTGTAAATTAATTAGGAATTAATTATAACGATTTGTCAGCCTCAAAATGCTCATTCATGATACAATCTCTGAGATGAAGGACCTGTACGTGCAATCCTGAGCGGAGTACTTCAAATCGGCAACTTCGCACAACATTCGCCACTCGAGACTCCCCACCATACCAAACAGGGATATAAGAATGCGCCTATTCACTTTCTACGAGATTTTAGAGAACCGCCTTACGACATGCAAAAACCCACAATGGGTTTACAAGCAGCAGTTCTGTCATACCTGGGCTTGGTGATGTTGAAAACCTTGCTCTGTTTTATTTCGAGTTACATAGAAAAATCTACATGCACACTGACCAATCAATGTCCCCTATTCCCACTTGTGTCCCATGTAGCAAATCCCGGCTGGGCTCGGGTATAGATCTCGCAAGTGTTGAAGGACACATTTCGGCATGATTTCCCGCTTGGTGATCACGTTGAGCTGGCCGCTGTGCCCCTTTTGTTCTATGGAGGCCGGGCGACTGCCAGGCGCCTAAATTGGCCAAGCAGCCCCAAACCCTACGGTAGTACACCTTCCAAACTCCTGGAGTTTTTGTGGTGAAGGTCGCTGTGCTTCAACCACTCTGACAGAGCCCCGGACAATTATGGAAGGGCTGCAGAGGCAATCTGGGTATTCCATTTCTTATTGGACTGCGAACAAACGGGAACAGAAGAGAATGAAAACTTCGTAATGCCTGCTGTCTTTTTATAAATGACATAATTTGCTATTATTGCTAGTTGCGCACTATTTTACGCGTAGAAAATCTTTAATTATGCCGATTCAATCTCCGTCTTTCCCGCTCTCTTTGCTGTTACGCAACATATTTGTCGGCTGTTGAGTTCTCAGTTACATTTGTTGACAGAAACTAAATGCAACTTTGGCCACGAAGAACTTTTTTCAAAGGCTGAAGATGCATGAAAAAATCGTAAACCGATTTGCTTTTATGGAAGTTTGTTTTTTACTCTTCTTAGTTCCTTCAACGAGGCAGCCGTTACGAAAACACCTGTAGTACGAACCTATATATTATGTGCCAGAACTGGTCAGACTGTGTTCATTTGGATACATGACTATATTGTCAAAATGCAACTAATTTTACATGCTTCGCCCTCTTACTAAAATATTTTTGACTTGTATTTACTTGTGATTATTATTTTTAACAAAAAAAAAAAACGAAATACTGATACAATTACTCTTCAGTGTGCCGTCGTTAGAACGACCAATTCTCAACACTCTGGGTAGAGCTCAAACTTCAAATAAAAATACCCACCTTTTTTTCTTTCGACTGTGATGTTCAAGTTCCGTTCACTCGAGATAAATATGCGGTATTGTAGCGTATGTGGCCGCATGCGGAAGTGTCTGAGTGTGTTTTAAAGCTAAAAAGAAAAAAGAAAACAGGAGAAAAGCGAGCCAGCCCGCACCCTTACGAGCTCATACCGAGCCTGCCTAACTAATCCCTTGTGTTTGGGATTGAAGCAGAGAACCTTGAAGGGTTGCAGAGATTTTGTCGGGGAGCCGGTAAGCCCATTAGCACTCGTGCGAGAGGGCCGTAAAAAGTGAGGAGGAAATTGGAGGAGGAAAGGGGAGGAGGAAAAAAAGAAAAGGGGGAATTTTCTGCCACGCTGAAGAAAATTTTGAGTGCCCGCCTTTAAGGGGCACTCGCTCGCTACCCTCACATCTGCTCTTTCTCATAGATGGCGCTGGAGTTTGGCCGGAGAAAGTAAAAACACGTAAGAAAAGAGGGGTGGGGACAAAGTGACAGACAACCAGTCTAACCAATCCTCACCACTTCGGCTGTGACGTCTTGAAACGTGGTTGTGCGAACAGGGGAAGAAAGAGGGGTAGGGGGCACTCTCTCGCAATCATCTTTCGGCGACCTTGTGGCATTGTCGGAAGGCACGGAGGATTGAGGACATGAGTCGGGGGCTTTTTTGACGGAACGAAGCGGCCTATCCCCCTTCTTCACGTGAGCCTTGTCGACTTTTTGCGTTAAGGGGGAAAAGGAGGCCCTAGAATGTGCTAGTTTGTGGTGCCACTGGTGTGGCTAGTGATGCTAACTTTATAGATTTATCTCTTGACCGTATTATTTTTCTTGTTTTTTTGCTCTCACTTTGTCATCCAAAGACTGGTCTGCAGACGTAAAAAGCTTGCAGAAAGGGGTATTCGCTTCACTGTGGACAATGCCAAGTGCGGTTTAGTGAGATCGCTGAGTTTTCTAACATAGACAATAGTGCAAACAGCTTTTGTGGTCTGGTATTTAGGATGTGGCCAGCAAGCAGACAAACGTCACAAGACAGCACCCTTGTGGCCAACAGGTTGCACAACCTCGCAGGGCACTGTGGCGTTTCATTATTCTCGAAAGACAACTATATAGCTTTAAACGAGCTCCGAAGCAATCGTATCAATAGGTTATTGATCTGGGATATTTGTTTTGATTATTTTTGAATACATGGGAGAAATATGGCCAAGTATGCTTGCAATGATCTGAAATTATCAACAAGACAACTCCTGAACTTATCTCCCCTTTGCATTTCCGCAAGGACTGGAAAGACGGCAACTGCGTAGCCAGAAATACTCTGACTGGAACCTCAGAATATCGAACGGGGTTCTGCCTTCTGAGTCCTCGTGATGCCGTGATGCTTCAAATATTACTCGTGCACCCTAAAAGGTGTTCTGTAATGTCATTTTCAAATGTATTGTGTTCGTCGTCATCCTCATTCTTTGGACGATAAAGGGGAAAAGACCAGTGTACATCCGAGCACTCCTGAGAAGTCAGGTGGGGTGGCGCCAGATGTGTTGTAGTTTTCGGGGCCGGAGAAAGAATGCGGCTGAGTCCATCAAGGCCTATTTGGTTTGTAGTCAGCTAGGCCTGTCTCGGCGGGCAGCGTCTGGGGGATCCAAAAAGGGGCACTTGCTTCTCAAACTAGATTATCCTGTGCCCCCGACCCCATTCGGTATACGCGATCGCTAGGCATCTTGATTCTTGTAATGTGTCGCTTTAAATGCACCGGACCTACTTTTGAAAACAGCTCATACTTTTACGACTGCCTGCGAATTGACAGGAAAAGAATGCCCCACAATTGTGGCATGTGGCGTCGGCTGTCGAATCGGTTCAAGACTGACATTCTCTGGACAGCGTCTGGTCATGCTGAGAAATACCATGGGAGTATCCCATTTTTACTAGGTATGTTTGTGGGTACAAGATTTTGTACAAGGCGCGTGTAATTTCTTTTTCCTCCAGGTCTTCAACAAAAAACAAGCGCCGCAAAAATTTTTTTTTTTTTTTTTTTTATTGGCATGCGATGAAGGAATTAATTTTCCTCCCGTTTTACGAAGCCCTGCCTGGCCGGTGGCTGTGGAGCAACTAGCCAGTCCGCCGAGACACGGTCTCTGCTGTGCTCATCTAGGAGAAGAAACATGTGTGAAAGGAAGGTGTGCATAATTACGTATCTGGTGAATTTTCAAAATTTACCAAGAAGATTCTGGGAGAAGATCCCAAGCGTGTCATGTCCTGTTTCCTGTATGAAATAATATATGAGAATAACTGATGCAAGGAAACAAAGAACGCAATATTTCTATTTCTTTTGATTCAAGTTTCTCATTATGCGACCTGCTTGTACAAAACAAGCTCTTCAGAAGTAGCTATGTCAAGGTTCCAGCTTATGCTCATATAGGTTTGATTGTTAGGTGTTTATTTTTGCTCACAATCGGCAGACAATTCTTGCGATCTGTTTTTTTCCAAGTTTGTTTTTAATCTGCATTTATTTTATACACCTCCACAGTCTTGGGTATTTTCAGCGCCTTTCATCTTGCAACTTGAGTCACTGGAAATATTTGAACAAAGTATGTAACGCAGCTGTCCTACCTATGGCTAACCAGAGCTGCACGGACCCCTGCGCATCCTCCCCGCACGCCGAAAACCGTAAGCTTCCGTCCGACTTTTAAGACGGCAACTCTGTTCCTAACCGGTGCGGTAGATTGGGCTGCAGGAGCCTCTCTCTTTCCTTTTCCCTCTCCATCTTCGGAAATGTTCGCTCAAACAATATACAGACACGTTTGAGGGAACACCCGTCTCGTTCCTCACAAGTATACAGGGTGTCCTCGAGCTATCGAACTGTATGTTGGCAGACGTCTTTCCAAAGCACCAGTAGTTTTATTGAGCCTAATAATTTAATTAATTAAATCTAATTAGGCACCTTTCAAAAAATTGATTCAAGAGAGAAGGTGTCAATTTTAAAGTTGTATAGAGCCCTGAGAAACACCGGAAAGAGGAAGTTGCTTTTATGCGTGCTTGTGGACATTTCTTGTTG